ACCAAATCTCGCTCGACGCGGAGGTTGACATTCATAACGGCAAAGCCACGCCCATATTTGAGAAACTTAGTGCAAGAGTTCCGTTACCGTTACAGCCTATTATTTTTTTTTATAGAAGAGGGGGCAAGCGAGCATGCGGCTCACCTGATGGTAAGTGACTACCGCCACCCATGAACAACCGCAACACCAGGGGAATTGCAGATGCGTTGCCGGCCTTTTAGAAAGGTGTAAGCTCTTTTCTTGAAAGTTCCTAAGTCGTATCGGTCCGGAAAATTCGCTGGTGGTAATTGAAAAATATTAAAGTCTAGTGCTGAACATAGGCCCCCATAGATTGCCTCATAAGGGAAATATTTTGCCATGTTAAGTGACAGAGTATGGCATATAAATATCTGACAGATAAAACCAAGATAATTTTCAAGAACTTAAGCATTCCCTTGTGTGGAGCTAAGACATGGTCGATGTACGTAAAATCAGAACGTCATATGAACACTTTTTACATGCGCTACCCGAAACACCGAACAACCGAAAACCTGCTGAACACCAAAACTGGAAGAAGCTTGGGGAGAAACGAACAAAATGGCACAAACAGGTAGAAGAGGGTCGCAAGTCTTGCAGTGTCAGACCGAAGGTCGATTTCTGGATGAAAACGACGCCAAAGGCTTAAAATCCCTAAAAAATTCAGTTCTAGATTGACTAAAATTAATAATATACATAATTTTAAAACTTTTAAATTTAACGTTTATATTGACTTGATTGATTGATAGTCCGACTAGGTAAGTCCAACTTCGACCGAGAGGTCAATCGACGGATTCAACTCGGCTGGGCAGCGTTCGGGAAGCTACGACACATCTTCTCGTCAGGTATACCTCAAAACTTGAAAACGAGACTGTACACCCAGTGCGTGTTGCCAGTGATGACATACGGAACTGAGACGTGGTCCTTCACTGCTGGCCGGATGAGGAAGCTCAAGGTCGCTCAGCGAGCTATGGAGAGGGCTATGCTCGGAGTTTCCCTGCGTGATAAACTCAGAAATGAGGATATCCGCAGTAGAACTAGAGTGACCGACATAGCCCAACGGATTAGTAAGCTGAAGTGGCAATGGGCCGGCCATATAGCTCGCAGAACCGACAACCGATGGGGAAGAAAGGTTCTCGAGTGGCAGCCTCGTACCGGCAGGCGAAGTGTAGGGCGTCCCCCCACTAGATGGAGTGACGACCTGGTAAGATATGCAGGAAGTCGATGGATGCAGGTGGCTCAGGACCGTGCTTTGTGGCATTCTTTGGGGGAGGCCTATGTTCAGCAGTGGACTTGTGAAGGGCTGTAATGATGATGAAAATGATGATGATTGACTTGATAATATAAAAAACCGGGCAAGTGCGACTCGGACTCGCGCACACAGGGTTCCGAACAAATCCGTAGGTATATAAGTTTAAAATTATTAAAAATATTTTTATTATATGATGTAACTAAAAATTTATGTTCTTCGCAATCTTTTCTTTATTTGTGCTATAATACGTTGCTTCGTACCAAATTTAAAGATTCTGAGTTCACGGGAAGTACCCTGTAGGTTTTGATTCCATGGCTAATGTCGAAAATTTGTGGCATAAATGACTGTATCTTTTGATTGCGTTGGCTTAGAAGCTTGATTTTTTCACATCCTCAAGGGACAGTAGACTTGAGTATTTGATATGAATTTCAGCTTAATACCTCCACGCGTTCCTGAGAAAAGGGGTCTTGACAGACAGACAGACAACAAAGTGATCCTATAAGGGTTCTGTTTTTTCCTTTTGAGGTACGGAACCCTAAAAAGGTAATTTTAATCATCTCTAGAAGTTGATCTAGAGATGATAAAAATTGCTAGAAACCTTGAACCTAGGAGGTGGTTCTTTTGGCAGAAGGTGGCCGAAGCCGAAGTTTTGTGATGATACTATGTTCACGGCATCAAGAGTCTTAATAAGAGCATTAATAACTTTTCACAATAATATCATATTGAAATCAGTGGCTAATACATCATATACCCTCAATACCTAAGGCAAAAAGTTTGATAATTTAGGAACAATGCAAAAAATAGAAGAGCAAAATAGAATGACTTAAGAAGAAAATGGATAAATCAGAACCAAATCATAATTTAAATTCATTCAGTCGTACAAGACAGACTTCTAAGGAAAAAAATACATAGTATGTATCAAGAAACTAATTTATCTACAATTCAATGTAACCATTAAAATATGTGATGATCATATTCAGTATTCGGTATATTTGGCAGGTTTACCATATATTCATATTCCACAGAATATTCAGCAAACTCACCAAATGTTAGGCAATGTAGTACTAAACCTCACCATATTTATTAGTGTATGATTAATCATGACTGATTAAAGCAATGTCTTACATAATTGTGTCATTTTCATAAGGTAAGTAATTTACTGTGTAACTTTATGCTTTTGAGACACTGTAAGTTTATTTCCAAGAACAGTTCCTAGATATAAAGATGGTTATCAAAAAAACCGGCCAAGTGCGAGTCGGACTCGCGCACCGAGGGTTCCGAACATATCCATAGGTATATAAGTTTAAAACTATTAAAAATATTTTTATTATATGATGTAAAAATTTATGTTTTTCGCAACTTTTTCTTTATCTGTGCTATAATATGTTGCTTCGTACCAAATTTTAAGATTCTGAGTTCACGGGAAGTACCCTGTAGGTTTTGATTCCCTTGCGAATGTCGAAAATTTGCGGCATAAACAGCTGTGTCTCTTGATTGCGTTGGCTTAGAAGTTTTATTTTTTCACAGCTCCAAGGGACAGTAGACTTGAGTATTTGATATGAATTTCAGCTTGATACCTCCACCCGTTCCTGAGAAAAAGGGTCTTGACAGACAGACAGACAGATGGACCACAAAGTGATCCTATAAGGGTTCCGTTTTTTCCTTTTGAGGTACGCACTCTAAAATATATATGGCTGTTTCTATGTAACTCGATATAGCAACTTGACTAACAGTGAAATAAAAGAGTTTTATAACTGAATTACAACTTTTCAGTAGACTTTTTTCAGTTTGATTTTTTTCCAGTTTCTATTTAGTGTATTGACAAAAGATATTTTTTTTTACTAAATACTATAATTGTGTTGTAAACTTTACATATAACAAGTACAGGCCTCAAATGTTTAGGTATGGTAATCAAATATGACAACTATTCAGTTTGGTACATGTTTTGCCCATTCATTCTAACATTCAGCCTAACATTTGTATTTGGTGAAACCCATGTTCGGCCCATATCAACTAAAAATGTCTAATGATATGAAACACATTCTTCAATTAAGTTTGAATAAAAACTTACTTAGTAATATAACATTTCTTAAATGCATTGAGTAACATTTCATTTTAACTATTAGAGAATATCTCTAGGACTACAGTTACAGGTTCATTGTAAGAAAGTAAAGAGAATGGCTATTTTTAATTGTATTACTAATATACATGGTTATTTTGCAATAACTAAATATTTGCCCCTCCCCCCTCCCTTTTCCACGGTCCCCCAGACGCCTATTAAGACGACTTGATTCTAAACCTTAACCAGAAATGAAAATAGGACACAAGTATGACAAAACACACCTTACATAAAACAAACCTAAAAAAAAATTTTCTTTTATTATATTTATTAATATTAGGATTAGGATGACTATCACTAGCTGGCTAGCTGCTCTCCTACACACAACCTCATCACGAGACGCAACATAAGCAAACCAATTCGGTATTTCTTTGGTAATCTGCCGCATGAATATATGGAAGGAGGAGGGGGGGAGTTGTAGAGTCACCCCCCACTTCAATTTCCTGCCGGATGTGCTTAGTATCTTTTTTATAAATTTTTAAAAATCTCATTTTGAGGTTATGTTTTCGTAATGTTTTTGACAATATAAACCTGATTTGTGGGGGGAGAGAGTTGGGGGAGAGTAGCTCAACGCTACTCCACGTGGCGCAGATTTTCTGGATGGTTTATAAAAAAATTCTTCGCTTGCTCACTCGACCCCGCCATCCCTTTCTAACCTAACCTGTCCGAGTCGGTGTGCCCCAAATCCCAAGCTCGCTTCGCTCGCTCTAGCACCAAATACAACATCGAAATGTAAACTTGTATAATTACTTTAATAAATAAACATATTTTATTACTTCCACCTACCATCGCCAACTGTCAGCTGTCTGCTGGCTCAAGTTGCCGTCAAAATCTCCCAAGGGCCGCACAATGTGACGCATCAACATATTGTAAAGCAGTGAAATTCTATATATCTATACAAATAAATAAAATTGAAGTGTCTGTTTGTAATGTAAAAATTACAGTGTTTTACTAAATGCATATGATAGTAAATACGGTACTACTTAAAATTTTTGTCTGTCTGTCTGTTTGTACCGGGTAATCTCCGAAACGGCTGGACCGATTTTGACGGGACTTTCACTGGCAGATAGCTGATTTCATAAGGAGTAACTTAGGCTAATTTTATTTTAGAAAAATAATTAAGGTTCCGCACAAAAACATAAAATCCCTAAAACGCGAGCGAAGTCGCGAGGAACAGCTAGTTCAAAATAAAAAAGGCAAGGCTGTATGGCATAGTTCCTTTGCCTGCTCTCTCGAGCGAATAATAAAAACAACAACAAAAGTTCAGTTTCAAGTATTAATTAGTGATTTAATTAAAGACATTTTTCGACGCAGCTGAAATTGCATGGGGGCACTTGAGATAAGCCCCCTTGACCACCCCACAGTGACAGACTCTAATAATTATATTGTTATTTCGTTTTCGTATCATTTTTAAATGGATATAACCTCAAAACTATAATTATCGATATCTCGAAAACTAAAGATTTCCGGCATAAAAAGCAGCTAGATGGTAATCAATAGCATAATTGCCTATCACCTAAAGCTAAAATGACCACTTAAATCGTGCCGCAGATTACTAAAGCCGACCCACCAATTCTATACGAGATTAATTTTTATGTTACAAAAAATACTTACACTGCAAACCACACGAAGCTTCCAATGTATGAAAAAATATGTATCAAAGTAAATAAAGTTAGTTTCACTAAATCATAAAGAATAAAGTCACTCTTTGTATATCATTAAATAACACCAAGTATAAGTCAAGGAATACCCAATCTAACTCTTATGTCTAATTCCAATCTATTTCTAAATCTAATAAAATTATTCTAACCTTCTAACCGTAAATTTTTACGTGACACTTGACTAATACTCAAAGAGTATAGTAATTAGTAATATATAAGCTAATACTGATTTGATAGCAGTTTAGCAGTGTTTCCCTTTAGGATTTTGGTTTTACCCTAATTTCTTTAGACATTAGACTGAAATATCCCTCAAAATCTTCGATTGTCCTAGATTTAAGTCGTATGAATAACGACGTCATTTCAAGTACTTTTTTAATTAATTAACAACTAAAACCAGGCATTGTGGTGTTCTTTTGCGGAGGTCTATGTTAAATAAAGAACTTGTAATTGTATTTTATTACACGTAGCACATTTAGGCTACAAACTTGAGCAATTATTGTTTTGAACATAAAAATAAATATAATAACTTGAGAATACTTCCAGTTACACATGGGACAAGTCTTAACGGCTTGTTCCATGTAGAACTTGGTTTTGTTCTTAAGATTTTTCTGTTTGTAATTTTTTTTTAAACTGAATAATGTTTATACCCATATATTATTATAAAAGTAAAATAAATATTAAGGGTTCTGTAAATAAATTCAAGAAATCTAACTTAAGTTTGAAGCAAAAAAGCTCATCATTTTCTACCAATTTTAATTACAAGTACAAAGGAATATTTTGTTACTAGGTGGAGAACTCCGTATCCAAGTCCTTCCAGATAGTTTTTACCTTTTTACCTAATACTACCGCCTAATAACACTACTTTGTTCCGGTCTGAAAGTTATAGAGAGCCAGTATAAATTCCCTTTCAAATTTTAGTAGGTCCTACATAATATTACTTGTTTGTCCTAAAAAATGCGAATTTTCTGAAAGTAGAAACACTGGCTGCCAGTGTCTGATTTGACATAAAGTAAAGTGTCAGTTCATACTTCATAGAGATATGTACCTATCAGTGTGTCAGTTCGTGTCAGTTGTGGATTGAGGACGTATTTCTGGGTTCTAGCTCTTCTGAGTCTTTGTGGATCAAGAATCACTATGTTCCTAAGAGTAAGAAGATGTTATTCTAATCATACTTCTTGAACCGTACGAGTTGAAATGTGGCGTGAGACAAGGTGGAATAAGTTCACCTCAACTTTTTAACTTATATATAAAAGAGCTGCTCGAGAGACTCAGCAGCACCAAGGTCGGTTGCCATGTGGATGGAAAGTGTGTCAACAACCTAAGTTACACCGACAACTTGGTGTTGCTGAGTCCCTCGGTCAGTGCGCTCAGAAAGCTTCTGGGAATCTGTGAGGCTTATGCAAATGAACACGGTCTTATTTATAATATAAAAAAGTGAAGTTGTGCTGTTTAAAGCTAATAACAAGAGTCCCAGACTCTACAACACTGCTTTATCGAGGGTATCACAATTCAGAAACTTGGGACACTACGTGACCGAGGATTTACGTGATGAAATTGACATGGAGAGGGAGCATAGGGCTTTAGCAACCCGGAGTAAGATGTTAGCCCGTAGGTTTGGACGATGCAGTAATGCCGTTAAAATAACTCTTTTTAAGGCATACTGCCAGTCTTTCTATTCGTGCTCCCTTTGGGTCAACTACAAATAAAGGGCGTTAAAGGTAAAGCATTAAAGGTGCAATATAACAATGCATTTAGAGTTCTTTTGGGACTGCCCCGCCACTGCAGCGCTTCAGGCATGTTCTGTGAGACTCGCACGGGTTTGACGCGATAATGCGAAATGCGCGATAAATGCCGCATCGCTACTAAGCAGAACAAGGAATAGCGACAACAGTATCCTGGGTGTTATAGCACAAAAACATGACTGTCCTATAATAAGGCAAATTATTAAGGTCCTGCATGGCTGACTTACCTGTGTAACCTTCCCAGCACCACTAGTGTAGTGGTATTGGGAGTAGTATTAGTTACCAACTCTCAGTAAAATTTATGAAAGAATAATTTTAGATCAATTGTTATTTTATATTTTGTTTTATAAAATTAAATTACTCCATAATAATATAAAATAAAATAAAATAAAAATAAACAATCTGATTTCACAAGGGGTCGCTCCACGACTGACGCAGGTGTCGAGCTTATGAAACATATTTTTAAGAGTTCAGATGATGCCTTGGGTATTTTTTGTGATCTTTCCAAGGCTTTCGATTGTGATCATTATGAGATATTAGTCAGGAAGCTACAACATTACGGTGTCAAAAATATTGTAACAAAGAAAGAAAGAAAGAACTATTTATTTGATATACACATTTTACACACATTAAAAAAAATATTATAAACAAAAGCAAGGGGGAAAAGAATGCATGTACCAGTCTAACACTGTTTACGCATTTACAATTGAGCAGCAGTACATACACAAGAATAAAACAAACAAAGAAATAAAAATGTAAAAACGAAAAAAAATCAATATGAAAATGTGACATCAAATAGGTCTCCAACTCAGCATAATGCTGCAAATACAGCGCTGGTTTTCAGTTGGAGCCTTGTGACTTCACAGACAAGTCGGTGTGTGATCTTCCAACTAAGAGTTATATACGAGTTCATAGTTATCTATTAACAATTGCGAGTTAAAAGGTAGTGCTTACATATTGTATAACGTATACACACATGCACTGAGACTAAACCTAGGTAACAGGTGTGTTATATTACTATATATTTAAATAATACTTACTTATATACTTATACATACAATATTAACATGATATTTGACTATTCCGACTATTCTATGGGGAAGACAACTTTTACTTTTTTCATAAAAGTAGATAATTTAATACTCTGAGTCAAAGAGACATAAACACAACTGCGCACTCCCTCAAGTGCATCACTTTCAAAGTGCAAACTACAATCAAATATTACACCTAAATTTCGTGCTTCTGAGACTTGCTGTATAGTTTTATTGTCAATTAGAACTACTGGCTGAAACAGTGATATATTTTGAATATTTTTATTTGTTCCTAGTATTAAAATTTTGACTTTTGTGGATTTAGCACAAGAGAATTTTACTTGGAGCATAACAAAATACGTTTCAGATCTTCATTCAATGATTTGACAGCAGATTTACAATCTCGAGGGTAAAAAGATTTATATATTTGTAAGTCATCTGCGTATAAATGATACTCACATTCTTTTATACAGTTAATGATGTCTGAACTATATGAAATAAATAAAATAGGACCTAGGATAGACCCCTGTGGGACACCGCGAGTAACTACGTATGGATCAGACATAAGTGTTGTGCCATCATGGTTCGTTATATTAACGTATTGCAATCTATCTGTTAAGTAACTATGAAACCATTTAACTGTGGAAGGATCAAATCCATAAAAAGATAACTTGGACAGTAGAAGAGTACAATTTATAGAATCAAATGCTCGTGAGAAATCTAAAAGAGTAAGTATTGTGCCCATTCGCTTATCCTGGGCTGTTAGTATGTTGTCGACAACATCAATAATCGCTGTTGTGGTGCTATGATCTTTACGAAAACCCGATTGTGCCCGCGGTAAGATTTTATGTTGCTCTAAGTATTCAGTTAACTGCGTACAGACCACTTTCTCTAGTACCCTAGACAAACAAGGCAAGATGCTTATAGGGCGAAAATCATTTAAAGAGGTAGCTTGTTTTTTTTTTTTGGGATAGGCTTTACCATAGCTGTTTTCCATTGCTTGGGGAAGGTGGAGGTGGTAATAGATTTATTCACAATGGCAGTAATAGCTTTCAAAGTATGTGGCAGTGTCATAAGCAACATATCAAGTGTTATCTGATCCACACCTTGTGCGTTAGATTTCAAATTTTGAACAATTTTAGCTACTTGCTCCTCATTTGTAGTAATAAAATGGAAAATTCCTGGTCCATATCTGTTATATTGCGCTCAGACTTATTATTTCATGTTTCAGTAACAGAACTCAAAAAGTCATTATCAATGGTAAAGGTTCGTCCTGACCAGTAGCATAAATGGGCGTTTTTCAGGGCTGGATTCTTGGCCCATTCCTGTTCTTAGTCTATATTAACGACTTACCTTATCTTGTAGGGGACAAACACTATATAGTATTATTTGCTGTTGACACCTCTTTAATTTTCAAACTCAAACGACAGTTAATTAAGACAATGTAAATAATGATCTATCGGAATTAAACATTGGCTTAACGCCAACAATTTGCTCTTACACGGCAATAACACAAAATGTATTGAATTTATAATACCTAATGTTAAACATTCAAATACCAATGTGCTCTTAAATGGGGAGGAGTTGAGTCTTGTGGATACTACTGTTTTTCTTGGTATTACTATTGACGCGAAGCTTCAATGGGGCCCCACACATCTAAATTGCGAGCAGATTTAGTTCTGCAGCATATGCTGTAAGAAAGATTAGAAGTCTTACCAATGTTGAGACTGCTAGTTTAGTTTATTTAAGTTAGATTCATAGCGTGATATGTAATGAGATTTTGCGATGGGGTAATGCGACTGACATCGAAGCTTGTAAAAGAGAGTCCTACGGGCGATTTATAACTTAAATTGTAATTAGCGCCTTAGAAAAAATTTTAAAGAAATAAACATATTAACTTTGGCATCACAATATATTTATGAAAATAATAATAATAATAAAAATGTAATGTTTGTACATAAAAACATAAATAACTTTGATAACAATAAAGATGTTCATACTTTAAACACCATTTACTAGACTCTACAAAACTAGTAATTCATTTATGGGGCTTTTACAACAAAATCCCAGAAAATGTACACAATTTGTCAATTTTGTTTTACTTATTATAAGCCAGTGCTTGACCACAATCCCACCTGGTGGTAAATGGTGATGCAGCTCTAGATGGTAAAACGCACTGTCTTAGCGTAACAGAAGTCTATTCATTCTTGCCTTGAAGACGCCCAGATTGTATTCGGATGGAAAGATCAAATTATTTCACTCCTTTGATGTACGCATTACAAAAGGCGAAGCAAACCTTTTGGTTTTAATGCGTGGAATATCGACAACAAATGGGTGAACACCCACCAACCACCTGGTTGTCCGATAGTGGAAAGGAGAGGGAGGAATCAAAGCGCACACTCACCGATATGCATCCTATAGAATAT